CTAACCTTTCCTTGAACACCCTCCGCCACCTCCCTTGGAAGCCCTTTCCACATCCGAGCGGCCCTAACCGTCGGGAAGTGCTTCCTGGCATGCAGCCTGAAGCCTGGTGCCTTGAGCCCCCCTGGGAGGCGTCCCGCCGGACACTGCAGGGGGGAACAGGCCCCAGCCCTCCTCTGCATGGCGACCCCGCGGAGCCTCCTCTCCTCCGGGCTGAAAGGGCCCCGTTCCCTCCCTCCCTCCCAACCCGGCCACCGTCCTCGTGCCCCTGCGCTGGACCCCGTCTCGCCTGGCTGTCTCTGCTGCGACGTGGAGCTCGGGGCCGGGCACGGAGCTCCACTGCGGGCGCGCCAGAGCCGCGCAGAGCGGGATCAGCACCGCCCCACGCCGGGAAGCCGCACTTCTGGCTAGGCAGCCACGGGTGGCAGGTACCTTCCCGGCGCCCAGTGGGCTCCTTCACCAGTGCCACGCTTCCCCATCCCGTACCTGCGGCCCCTCCTCCCGAGTCGCCCCCCGCACAGCCGGCCGGCCCTTCTGCGCCTGGGGCACTGCTCCTCCGCTGCGCCTCGTGCCCCCACCTGGGTACTAGCCGTGCCCTCGGGCAGCGCGCCGGTTCTCCCGCTCCACGTCGCCACAAACGCAGGCACGTCACGCGGCGGCAAGGTCTGTTTTGCAAGGACTGCTGCCTCAGCTCCAGGCAAGCCGGCCCAGAGCAGCCGGGCTGCAGCCCCGCTCGGCCGGAGGGTGCAGAGGATGCCTCCGGCCAGAGCCAGCAGCCCAGGCCTAGGAAGACCGGGGTCTGCCTGAGGCGATGGCAGCCATGAGAGCGGTCCCCAGCCGGGTGCCCTCCAGACCAGCCGGGCCACAGCTGCTACGCTCTCTTTGGCGGCAAGGCCACAGGCGAGCAACAGCGAGAGCTCCTCCAACACGGAACGAGGCCTGCTGGCTCCTGCCCCCATGGCCCGTCTCGTGGTGCTGGGAGAGGGAGCTCCAACCAGGAGGCTTCAAGCCCCTCGTGGTCCCCTCACGTCATGCATGAACCTGCCTGGAGCTACAGGCTCCAGCCGAGGCTGCGCTGCAGGGCCCGCCCGCCAGGGAGGCCAGGAGCGCCGGGCGAGGAAGCACTGGGGCTGGGATGCCACGGCAGCAGTGGGCGCTGCTCACCCGGCCCGTGGCCAGCCTGCCGGGGGAGGGGCTCTTAGCTTGCCCACGACCAGGCAGCCAGAGCCAGCCTGGAACAATGGGTCGCTGGGAGCGCTCTCAGGCCCTCCGGCCATCTAGCCCAGCAGCAAGCGTCCCGGGCTTCAGGCGGGGCTCCTGGGAACTCCTGCACGCAAGGCTGCTGCCCTGCCCTGCATCCCCCCACTGGTCCACTGGGCCTGGTGTGGCCGACACCGACTGGCAGCAGTCCCCGGGGCTTCAGGCGGGGCTCTTTCCTGGCCCATCCCGGAGACGCTGCCCAGGGCTGAACTGGGAGACTTCTGCACACAGAGAAGGTGCGATGCCCCAGAGAAAGGGAAAGGCAGGGCCTGCGAGGAGAATTGTCTGCTGCAGATCACAGTGGGTCCTTCTGCAGCCTCTGCTGCCCCCTTCTTGCTTCAGTGAAACGAAGCAACGAGGTTGGCTTTTGCTTGGAACTCAGAAGGCAAAAGCAATCAACATCCAACCCCCTCTTTATCTTCAGCTGTGAGAGCGAGCATCGCCAAATATGACTAAATAAGGCAAGATGGTTGAAAGCCGAGACAGCCATTTAGACATGTAAAAAAAACCGTTCGGGAAGAAGGAAGAGAGAGAGAGAGAGAGAGAGCCTGTTTCGGTGAGGGCCGGAGAACAAAGCAGGGCAAGAAGAGAGGGGGAAGCCCTCATTTAATTGCTTCCTTCCACAGCACAGTCCAAAACCTCAGAACAGCAAGGAGTATAGAAACTCCCACAACGGCGTTCTGAACTGCCCCTGCCAAAGGACTTTCAAGGGGGAAAGCGCACACACTCGACCGGTTACCTCCAGGACTGGTCCAGCTCCCAGAATAGTCCTCTCCACTCCGCTGGCATAGCCCTTCTGGCTCAGAGCGGTGAGGCAGTGGATCAGGAAGTTCGTGCTCTGCGTCTTCCCCGACCCGCTCTCGCCCGAAATGACAATGCACTGGTTGCGGCGCTTCCTCAGCATGGCGTAGTAGGCCACGTCGGCGATGGCGAAGATGTGGGGCTCCAGCTTCCCGAGCTGGTGGTTCTCGTACATCTGGACGTACTTGGGGTTGTAGATGGGCAAGAACTTGAAGGGGTTTATGGCCACCAGGATGCTCCCCACGTAGGTGTAGATCTTGTGCTTCAGGAAGCGCTGCTTCAGGTTCTTCAGCAGCGTCGTCTCCGTCAGGTTGGGCAGGTTGCACAGGTCGCTGAAGCCCTCCGGCTGCCAGGGCAGGAAGCCCCTCTGGACGAGGAAGCGCGCCCCCTCCCGCTCCTCCTCCTCCTCCTCCTCCTCGGCCAGCTGCCTGTGGATGTACTTGATGGTTCCGTCGGCGTTCCTCTCTTGCAAGAGGAAGTAGTAGCCCTCCTGCTGCGGGTGGTCGTCTTGGGCCCGGCGGGGCCAAAGCAGGACCCGGTGGACGGGGGCATCGTTGCCGTCCAGCACCCACTCCTCGCCCCCCGACTCCTTCACCTCCACGAGCACGTAATGCTTGGAAGCGTCCAGGCTCAGCAATTCGACGGCATCCTTGAGTATTTCGGCCGCGGTGGCGTCCTTAGCAGCCGTGATGCTGCAGCAGGAGGCGCTTTCCGCCGACAGCCGAGGGTAAATACGAAGCTTGTAGGCCACGCTGCCCGGACAAGTGCCGCTGCCCCCCAGGCCTGTGGTACTCATCTTGGCACACACCCTGCCTCAGCATACCGCCCTGTCTCGCTCGGGGAGCTGGGTTTCTGGAAGCAAGGAAGAGAAGTGTCAAGGACGCGCCCCAAGATGTGGTGGCGGCAGGGGCACTAAGGGGTTTGCCCTGGGAGGGGAGCCGGGGCTCCTGCCAAGCAAGATTGCGATGAGGCAGGTGCGGAGGGGAAGAGGGCAAACGGGGCGTGCAGAAAATGGCCGGGGGGCGAGGGAGGTGGTGCGGTGCCCCGTGTGAGGCAGCACCGTTTTCAGGATGCAGCGCAGAACAGCTGGCTGGGCAGATACCCAACAGGGACTTGGCACCCGAGGTCTTCGCGGGGTGTCCCGGTCAGCCTGCCTGATGGAGATGAAGGGCTCCGGAGATGCAGCCCAGGCTGGGACTGGTCCGGTCCCGGGAACCAAGTCCCCTCCCAGAAGCCGTTCCTGCTAAACTGCCATCCTCACTCCATCCCAAGGAAGAGCAACATCTCTCCTTGCAGCGTGAACCCAGAGGCCAGAGCAAAACAGCTCAGAAGGCATTTCTCTGTTAATCACCAGCCACTGCCCCAAAAGTCTTAGTTTCTCCTTTCCAGGGCAAACGTCTTCCTATTTGGAGGGAGGAAGAACTCTGGTTAAGATGCCACCCATCTTCCACCCGCTTCTGCCTGCCTCTGTTCCACCTGCTTCTGAAGACATCAGAGCCGGCTGAGAGACAGTGACAGGAGGGCCCTCCGGACTCGGCGCCCCAGAGCTTCTGCCCCCCTTCCACTCATCAAGGCAGCCCAGGGCAGGCCGTGCGTGCCTCAGGTCAGGGCTGGAGGGAAGGCAGGTGTGGACGAGGCAACCCGCGGGGGCAAAGGAAGCCCGCAGGAGCCTTCCCAAGCTACAGCCAGCTGCCCTCCTGTGGTGGTCTCAGCTGCCGTTAAGGCAAGCTTGCCTGACCCAACTCATCTGCTCAGTAAGGAGTTGCCGGGCTCTCCAGAAAAGCCCCCCGTCTCGAGGAGCAGAATTTTCCTCGCAGGTCCACGACCGGCACATTGGTCAGCCTTGCGAACTTGTGGGACGGCCGCAAGCCGCACTCCAAAGCTCCCATCTGCCAGTTTATCAGCAGCGGGTGCTTGCCCTGCGGGATACACTTAGCCACAAAGGAAGCAGGCAGCTGATAGCCCAGGGCCTCGTCAGCAGCCGTGTGCTTCAAGAGCGGGTCTTGAAACACCAAGCAGCCTGGCACCTCTCCGCCAGGCCCAGCCAGGGGAGGCGGCGGCGGCAGGGGAGCTGCATGGCACGATCCTGGCCCCTATTTATTTTATATTGTTATCTTTTGTATTTTAATTTATGCTGTGAGCCGCCCCGAGGCTTCGGCGAATGGGGCGGCATAGAAATGTTTAAATAAATAAATTTGTTTTCCCAGCGCAGACAAAAACAGCAGAGAGCCCTGTCACAGCATGAGGAAGAAAGTAAATCTAGAAGATTGGGCCTAACTTTTAAAAGTCGAAGCAGCAAACAGGCCCTGAAGACAGGAGTTCGCTCACGCGGCAATGCTTTAGCAGGGTTTAATAAAAGCGCTGCCCAGCGGTTACCTTTATAACAAAACATGGAACTAATTCAACGTGGGAGCCATTTCCAAGCATCCTCGGGCCTCTTCCCCCAACACTTCTGAAGGCCCCCTCTGAGGAAGCCTGTTCTAAAAGCAGCCTGCAGAGCCACAGCTGGATGCAGCCCCGGCTCGCACCGTCCTCTGCAGGGGTGAGCGGGAGGAGGAAGCGATAAAAAGAAGGGTCGTCCTATAGGGATAATGTGGAAAAATAATACCCAAGACAGACAATTAAAGGTTTGCTCCGCATCCAGAAACTCTGAAGGCCCCGGATGGAAAGGAAGTGGAGAGCTACCCACCGGTTTTCGCAGACCTCTTCTCAGATTCCTCCTGCTTCAGAGGGCTGCTAGGGCTGCAGCGTGATCTCGGCAGCAACATTTGGCTCTCAGGTTGTTTTTAATGGCCCGGGAAAGCAGAATTTGCATCAGCTCTCCTCAGCTTTCTTTTCCCAGCATCTTGTCTGCAAAGCAGCATCCTGGCCAAAAACTTGCTTTACCTAATGCTCTCATACTATTGTAGAAGTTTTTCTGGATCGGTCCAAAGGTTCACCCAGTCCAGGGGTATCTGGGGATAGATTACCTATGGCTTTGTAGCTCCATCTGTTAGTGCAACTGCCTGCATTCTGTACTGCTTTTCCTCTAAGTGCCTCCAGAAAACATCCAGGCTCTCATTTCTTCTTACCTATTTTATCCTCACAACTTTGTGAATAGGTTTGAGATATCAAAGGTCTCAGGGTCACCTGGCCAAGTGGAAGACTGAATTTTCGTCTCCCTTGCCCTCGTCTGCCAGCCTAACCACACCTCCATGCTAGCTTCTGTAAGTCCCCGTTTTATCTGCACACAGTTATTGCATTTTTCCGAAACTCTGCCACTTTCCAAAACTTTTTTTGCCTAGACAAGGTAAAGGGATTCCTCTCCCGGCTGCAGAAAAATCATAGTCCCTCGTCCCCAGTTCTGGAAGACGGAACCCCATGTCCAGGGGATTCAGGGGGTCAGGGAAGGGGGTGACCTCCACCTCTGGACAAATGAGACAAAACAAGGAGAACTGCAGAGTCAGAACAGTTCAGGCTGTGGGCTGAGGCACCAAACAGGCATGCCCTGATGCGACGCAGAAGGGGGGTTCAAGACAGAAAAGGCTTTGTGCTTTCTGCCAGTGGGCTTTGGCAGAATGAACCGGCTGCAATGTGGTCACTAAACATAACTATTTACAGAGAAATGAAGAATCAAGCCAGTTGCTTCCAGGCATGCCTGAGCCTTATTCGAAGGGGGAAGACCAGTCCCTTTTCCAAGGCGGAGGGATCTCTGAGGAGCTCCTTCCTTCCTTCCTTCCTGGCATACTCCCCCGGCTCGCCCACGGGGCAGCGATTTCTGGGTTCCAAGGGAATCTGTGGGATCCCTGCCAAACCCCCCTCGTGGGCCACACATGCATGTCTGAGTCAAGATCAAAGCGACTGTTCCTTCCAACTCGCAACAAGCAAGGATGGTTTGCCAAGGGAGAGCTGCTCCATTAAGGGGAGACTGCGGGGAGCAGCGGCCATTTCGGCTGCGGGAGGAGAGGCAGAGCGGCTGCACGCCGGAGGGCAGGGCCGCTGTGGCGGCAGAAGGGTCCTGCTGCGGCTGAGCTCACGGCATCCCTGCCTTGGAGGGGTGGGAGGCGCAGTCCATCGGAGGGAAAAGCCGTCCCAGAGGGATCCGGGCCATGCCTCTCCCGTTGCCCAGGTTGCCTGCGGCCAAGACCCCTGGAGAATCAGCGATGGCACAGGGAAGTGCAGAGCGCGGGACTGGTAGGGGCACTAGGCTCCCCACTCCCAGGCTCTCCCGCTGAAGCCACGGTTTCGGTGCCACTAGCGGCGGGCGTACAGCCACGGGCTCCCTGACCCACCTCTGCCTGCAGCCCTTGGGCCAAGCAGACCGCCTGCCCTTGCAGCAGAGACGCAGCAGCAGCGCATAACCGGCACAGGCACGCACAAGAGCCATTTGCTGACTCCTCCGACGGAGAGCTGTCTGAGCCGATTTCAAGAAATCCACAAGCGCGGCCTCAAATGTCTTTCTGCCCAGCCTGCTCCCAGGAAAGCGCAGAGAGGACCCCAGAGCTTGCACATCCCACGGCAGACCGCCTCTCCACCCCCCCCCCACGACCTCCATCTAAAGCAGCGGCTTAGTCTACATAAACCCATAATTTTAAGCTGCATGTTTAACTAGTGAATCACGCCAAAGCTAAAAAGGGAAAGCTACCATTTCAACAAAATTGTGCAGGGAATGGCGGGGAGTGAGGAATAACATTTCAGCGCTCTTTGTGCTCGCCCATGATGCAGCAGCTTTAAGTAACTTACGCAACGTAACACTCACAAACCTGCAATACCGGCCACCGCATCTCCCGGCGGAGATGGGAGACTTTGGAGCACAGCAAGAGCAGAGCTGCCAAACCGAAGTGAAAAGCTGCAGATGAGCAGGGGTGGGAGAAGCAGACCGCTCGAAACCTCACTGAACAATCCGCCATCAGGTCCCGAATCGCAGCTTGGTCCACGGCTGCCCGGCGCACCAGCACCTCTCCGGGGCCACAGCCACGAGGGACCAGGCTGGTGACATCTGGCAAGGCAGTCTGCATCTCTGCCCGAGCCATGATCCGCCTTAGTGTTTGCCTCTGCTGCGGAGCACACAGCCCAAAACCTGGGCCAAGCAAGGCTGCGCATCTCTTAGCCGCTCGTGGGGGAAGCAGGGGATCCCCAGTTCCCAGCAGCCTGCCGGTAAGGAAAGCAGCTGTAACCAAGCGTCTGTTCAAGTATCACCCAGCAATGTCCTCGCAGGCAAGCCGAGTCTCTTGGCTGCAGCGCCCAAGCAACATGCAACACCCATGGATCAGCGGAAGAAACCAATCTTTGCCATCCAGACACAGGCGCTGAGAAATTTGCCTGTTCTGGGTGGCAGGGCACCGCCTACCGAGGCAGGTGCGTCACCTGGAAGTGCTCCTGGACTTGCACCCGGGAGCCAGCGTGGCGCAGCGGTTAGAGTGCGGGGCCGAGACCCGGGAGATCTCGCCTCTGCTCTCCACTCATCCATGAAGCGCCCGTGGGGATTTCGAGCCAGTCGCAGACTCTCACCCTAACCTACCTCGCAGGGGTGTTGGTGACGATAAAAAGCAGAGGAGCAGCTCCTCGCGACGTGGGCTCTCCACAACTCTTGCTGCTCGAGGGAGGCCCAAGTGACCCTGCAAGCTGCAGCCAGTGTGGCCACGAGGACTGTTCCGGGCCTCGGTGATCCAGGAGGGGACACCCGAAGGCTGGACCTGAGGGGGGCTCAGAAGCTGCAGCCGGCACAGGACGCGGCACCTGGACTGCCCGGCGGTGCTTCCTGCCACACCACGGAGGGAAGCTGCCTGCCACTGAGGCATGTGGAGGGCGCTACGGCTGCTCTCAATGGCTGGCACCACCGCCCAGGTGACCGGAATGAGACACTGCAGTTTTATCACTCTTTTATTGTTTTACTGCTCGGTTTCATTACAGGTTATCATGAATTTATCTTGTGAATGGCTCCTGGTTTTGTTTTATTTTAACACAGACTACAATCCAGGAATTCTCTAAAATAAATGCTCGAAATGCAAATTGTTGTTGGTTTTTTTTGTTTTTGTGAGTAGCAGCCCGATGGTCTATTTCAAGAGCCAAAATGCTTGACAGCTATCAGAATACTGTTTACTTCGTATTTCAGGCATTTACAATTATCTTTCCCTTTGTCTTGCAAAGACTGATTTATGGTACTTTATTTCCTCATGATTGTTTTTATTGGGCTATTTGTAAGCTGACTGCAGTCTAAATATGTAAATTGGAAAATTGGTGTCTAAATATGTAAATACTGTTTGGAAAGCAGTGTTGTTTATGCACTGACAAGTATTTAGCGTGTTTATTGACTATATATACCTCCAACTCTAATACCACTAGAAGTCTGACAGCTTAATGCTATTTCACCTTTTTCAAAAATAGACATAATTCATTCTGGGCAGAATTTATGGATTTGCAAGGCAGAATTTAGCAAATGCAAACAGACACAGTTCCAAGCATGGCTTAGCCTTCCCCAAGCTGGCCCTAACTCCCATCATCTCCCAGCCAACTGACTGGGGTATGCAGGGTGTTGTAGTCCAGCACATCTGGACGACACCAGTGTCAAGAAGAATGCCACAGGCCTGTATCTAAAATATTTAAGGCACTCTCTGCCTTTGCCTGGGATCTGTACTATGCTACTAGCCTACGTTAAATCCTTATCTCCTCACTCCCTTCCATTACCAAAAGGCACTTAAGCAGTTCTAGTAAACAGAGATTTGCATACTGAGGAGAGAACAGGAAGTCAAGATGAATGGAAGGCAAGCACAAAAAACACTGAAGGGCTGCGGATCCTTGTGCCAGCGCTAGCTCATTGATGCCAAGGCTGTGATGGCGTGCAGACAGAGTGGCCCGGCAAGGCACCCCAAACGCACCGTCACAGATGCACCAATCCTGACTGTGCACAGGTGTGTCTGTGTGTCCCGTTCTGCAAACCAAGGGAGCAATTTAGTTTGCAAACACATCATCTTGGTCTGCCTTTGTCAGAACTGAACTAAAGCAGCAGCAGCAGCAGCAGGAGGGCCTGCAAGTCAACAACAAATCACATGTCCTCTACCCCGTTCTCTTTATCGTGGTTGATCAGTGCAATTGCACATCGCAACCTCAAATGCAAAAACCCATGAGAGCAATGGACAAGGAGCCACATTACAGGCAAAAGAGAGGGCAACCAGGGTTCAAAACGTGCCACGCCTGTGATCCAGCACGAAAGACAGCGATCTGCCGTGCACCGAGCACCCACGGGTCGCTGGCCACAAGCGGGCACGGGCCCCCTTGCGTGTCTTCCCGCACCAACGAGCATGGCCCTGCCCATGGCCTTCAGTGTGATATCCGAACCCGGCCCCTCTGGGTGCTTCGAGGTTAAACTTAGGGTTAGCCTGTGGTTTGTTAAATAACTCACAAATGGGCATCACAAGCAAGCCAATTCCTGATATCAACCCACCTGCACGGAGGGAGGGAGGGAGGGAGGAGGGGGCCAAGAGATCACCAGGGCCTCCTGAGCTGAACGGGTCCCTGCCTGGAGAGGACTCACAGGCACCGACTGCTCCCCAGGAAGGACATGCAAACAGTCCAGCCGGGAAGTGGGGCAAAAACAACAGGCAGGGGCAGGGGCGCCGGGAAGGCCCCACTCCACGCACAAGCCAAGGGCGGGCGCATGCACAGCCCTGCTTCTTCAGCCAGCTTCGCCCATGAACCACTGCTTATCAGAAAACCCAGCCACCAGGTATGGGCCTCTGTTTTTCACACACACACACACACACACACTTCAGCCGGCAGCATTTAACCCCTCCAGCTCCGGCACCTGAATTGTTCCTTCCTCTCGCCGAGCCCTTCAGGCTGTGTGGCACGACTGGAATGGGAGGTGGGAGCCGTGCCACCCTGGCCATGCAGGGAGAGCATCACGCAAAGGCTTGTCTGGGGCCTCGGACAACCCCTGGAAAAGGGGAAAAAGGAAAGGCCTCTTTGTTTAGTCAGCCAGTCATCCTCCAGACTGTGCAAAGCACACGGCTGCACTTGGCGCACAGAGGAAGTGAGCAAGAACATCTGCAGCCAGGCAGTCCCGGGGCGGTGCTGAGGCTCACGCCAGAGAAGTGCCCTCTGAGGCTCCCTAGTTCTTCAGCCACCCCTCCAAGTGCGGCGGGGGGGGGGGGCTTGTACACGCTGACAGAAAGAGCTGTCCATGCCAATGGGAATCCCTACCTTTGCCCTGCAGAAGGACAAGTTCCACGAAAGTCGAAGGCCAGAACAAGAAAAGGCTGGATAAAGGCAGAAAGATCCTCAAGCGTGAGGCAGAAGATGAAGGCGCCCTGAAACAAAAGGCCACATGAAGCTGAACTGCCAATTCTGGCCGGAACTGCCTTGCTCTGGTCCTCCCACCCTGCAGAGGCGCCGGTCCCACAGCCAACCCACCTGCTCAGGGGCGCATTCGCATTTACTTGCTCTGCCTGCCACCACCTCCTCAAGCAACTGTGTGCCTAGATCATCCATTCCAGCACTTCATTCCGGGGCGACCCTGCGTGGTCCATTGCAGATACAGGGCAGCTTCCAGGCTGCAGAGGTGGTGGCCCTCTCACTTTTCTTGTAGCCACGCTGAGCTTTCTGTTCGTGCTGATGAAAACATGCTGGGTGGGCCACCAGAATCACATCTGTATGCAGCCAAATGTTTGTGATTTTTTTCCTAATCCCAGCTACATTTCTTTGGAATGAACCCATAGTTGCCTCCTCCCTCACTAGGATATGTTTAAAAAATGAAAATCTAAAAGGGTTGGCTAGCTCTTTTAGATATCCTCAGTCGCCAGTTCTTCCCCCTTCTTTCTCCCTACGAAAGCAGGGGTGGGGGGAGCATGAACTGTTTTAATCATCAGCTGCTAAGATGAAAAAAGTCAGCGAATGCCCAAACCACATGGGTGTGAGCGTTCCTAGGCCTCATGGAATGCAGGATTGCCTCATGCCGTCATCTTGAGACTCGCAACTCTGCCAGCATGTTTTAGCCACAGGCCCCAAACCTCTGGTCGGAGTGCCAGCAAGCAAATTTCAAACACACAGGAAAGGGAAGAAGCAAAGCAAAGGCCAACCAGCTCTAAAATAAGGCTGCTAACGGGGAGGCGGGACTTTCCACATCTGTCAGAAAACCAGACACCCCTCCCACCCCTCCATTACCATCCTAAGAGTCTCCAGACGTGTCTGCAGCAGGGAAGCCTCATTAGTAATGTGTCTGCTAGGCAAACTGACGTAAGATGGTGCAGCCTCTATGAGGCCGGTTCTTCCCAAACAGCGGCAGGATCCTTAGCCCAAGGCGGCTGGGCGGGAGAGTCCAACCACAGTACTTAATTGGAGGGGAGAGAGCAGAGAGCCACCCAGGGGTGGGGTAGGTTTCTGGGGCCCAGGGGCATGTTAAAAGATGACTGGGACTAGTTCCCTCTGTCATTAACCATCACCAAGAGCTAAGGTCCCTCCATCAAATATTGCTTTATTTAACGCCTGCTGGTATACTCTCTTGGATCTTGCAGAGGGCTTGGATATGAGAGGTGTCATTACAAAATTTCACTTTTCGGGTCTATCGCACTTACTGAAGTTAGGACTCAGCGAAGCAAAAGCTTTAATCAAGCAGCACCCGCATGATATGGAACAACAGAACCATCTGGCTATTGCGAATCAAAACTGCACACGGTGTGGTCATTTTCCACTTAGGTTCTCTGATATATTGGTATCTCTTCTTATGGTTCCAAAATACAAAGTGAGCTTTATAACATATGCAAGTCTCAATATACTGCCACCAGCTGTTCTTGAGGGTCAATTTAGAAGAATCCTTTTGGGTCATCACTTATGTCCAGGCAGGGATGGCAATATTGGAACCAATAGTTCATGTACTATTATTTTTTCAGTTGCTAAAAAGATCTAAGGACTGAGGTGGTAACTCTCCCCCAACCCCCCCTGCTGTTACCTATTCCAGGGCAACCTGCTTCTGTTTATGCGTTCTTCCATTTAGCAGCTCAAAACAAACAGTTCAGGAGGAAAACTGCAAGATTTCCAGCTGATACCATTTAAAGAAGATCATGTTGTTTTAGAATTCTCACTCGTATAGGTTTTGAGAGTCTATGTGCAAGAGAGTCTATGTATTATCCAGTAACTTTGGTACCGGCATGTAATTTTAGCTCAGCACATTTCACTTGTTCTTATTTCCATGCATTTACATTTTATATGCTAAGGTCTATGGCTGATGCAAATAAAGATTAACTTATCTTAGAGACTGTTTCAGTACTCACACATAGCTGGTGCATTCACAGGACACCCTAAGCCATCCTACAAACAAGCCATGGAAGGATGGTTGTTTGCTGAGGAGCCCGCCGGGGAGGGTTAGCTGAACGACTGGCTATGAAGTGTTCTTCCACTCCCTTCTTCTCCAGGCTGCCTCAAAAACACACAGCTGGGGCTGGCTGTACTTTTCCCAGTCCCCGAAAGCTACACAATCTCATTTGTTGGTGTTGTCATGGTCTTTCACAAGCATGCTCTTACAGCTGTTCAGTGTGTGTCTTCTTGCCTGATCAATTTCCGCCCGGGTCCTCTATCAAAGGAAGCAGGAAGTGGAAGAGGTAATAGCTGAATTAAGTGGCCAGGTGAGGCTGGAAACAGGCTAAATTGCACACGGCCGTCACAGACTGTCAACAGAGACTAACTGTCAAAGCAAAGCCGCGAAAACGCTGCACCAAGAGCATGTGGCAGCTGCCTGCTCTCAATCTCCCTGGGAGTCCTCAAACCGGCCTCGGGACCTTATGCAAATTCAATGACTAGGAAGTCAAGGGACAGGAAATTTGTGCAACTGCTCCCAAAAGGGGCTGCAAAAAGCGGGGGCCAACTTAGCACCTCCCGCCTGGAGCGGGCCGGCTGTGGGGAGGCGTGTCGAGCAGGGGCACGCAGCACGGCCCGTTCACACAGTTCCCAAACCCTCGACCCACGCCCGGCGGAAGCCCCGGCCGCGACGTGCGCCTCCTTCCACGGAGGCTCCGCAGCCGCCGCCCCCCGCGCCCCACGCCCCGTCGCGGCAGCGCAGCCCGGGGGCGCCGCAGCCTCCGGCCGGGGCTTCCGCCGGGCGTGGGTCGAGGGTTTGGGAACTGTGT